GGGGGTGTACAAGCGGGGTACTCTTCCCTGTCCAGGGCCCGTGGTGATTCGTCCGTGGTACCTGCAATGGGGGAAGAGAGAAAGGGAGGGACACGTATAAGGTCATATGAGGAACGGGCAAGCAGATACATTCGAGTTTCAAATGCGTTACACATTTAAAATATGAATATCCCGGGTCTTGAATATCGTGCGGATTGAGTAGATTTAAACAACTTTCAACAAAACTGCGGCCGTTTGGGAAGATCTCATACGCCCGAAAAATTACCATCAAATGTTAAAACTTTATGTTAAAGTTTTCCTCCTTCGAACCACGGTTTCAGAGAAATTTTCGGCGTGCGTCTAGCCCACGGCGAGAATTTCTAACTGAAAGCTTCCAAATGATGTTTAGGTTAGTTGCCCTTATGAAAGAGTACACCGATTTATTCATTCCAGAAGATGGCCATCAAGACCCACGATCAACTTTTAAAATGTTAGGACTTGGATGTCACAAGCTGAGAAGTGGCCTGCTACTTACCAAAGTATGGTTCACATTAAGCCCTACTAGTGCTCACGGATTGATGCACAGGATCAAAGTTTTCGCCCAAGCTTTCCGGGCCGATACTGCTCTTGTCGTTCGGTGGCTGCAGTTCGCCTAAAAGGTACGAACGAAAAAATGTGTAACACTTTTCTTCAAGTCTCTGCACAGGGCTCTAAGCTTGCTGGCGCAAGTTTGTGTAGAAAAGCGTCTAATAGTGCTTTGAACTGTGTAGTAGGTTTAGCATGCACAACCATCATTGGAAATTCATTCCACGCAGCAACTACTCGAAGCGGGAGGAAATTTTGCCTAATGAAAATTTGCGCTCTGAGCTTGAAAAGCTTACCGTGTTTCCACCATACTGGCTGGATCAACAGTGAAAAATCCAGTTGGCCGAACCTTGTTCAAACGGGGAATAGGTAATTATTACGTCTGCTCAGGGGAAACGGGTTGGGCACCGCCAGAGGCGTTTCACATTTCGTAGCGGCCCGTTGGACATGCTAAATGAAGCCTCCTTAACTGACGAATTTCATCTAAGTCGAGTGATCACATTAAAACGTCGGAACACATGTGCACTCGGTTACCTCGTAGAGATGAATTCTTCACAATCATATCCCCAAGGTCATCGAAAGCAATAAGAATCGGAGCCGCGCAGTCTCATATTATCGTGGTTCCAAAAAGCGCTAGATAAACATATTTGATGAACTGAAAAAGAAATTCTGATTGTCGTATTCTGACATGAAGAAGCGTAGTGAACATATCAGTTAGACACAAACCAGGGTCGCAACTAGCGTAATGTCCCACGGGAATCATCTTATCCCTTTGTTCGCTCGAAATATAGCTAACCTCCCAGTTTACAAACCTTGTCTATCACTCCTCGCCCTCTGCGAATTCATGCTGGCTTCACATTCGGGTGAGCATTAACGAACCTGGATGTCGGTTAATGGCACATCCCTCCACTTTCAAGGTTCCGATAAAGAATAAATATCGTTGAAGTTCTTGCCCACAAAATACTTCACTCCAATCAACAAGCACCTTTAATTTCAGTGTTAGGTTTTGTAAGATCCGGACGGTTAAGGATCTCACAGGGCGATTGCGACTATTAGATTATACGCAGTTCGTAGCCAGTAGTCAATAGGAGCAGACAGACGTGGGGCAGTAGATGATATATTGAAGACTGACAGGAACTGGTTCTACAGAAAAACGAATTAGTAAGCATCATGAATTAAGAAAAAGTACAATCAACAATGACGCAATCTGTAGGAGCGGGAAGCAGTCACCGTCACAACACGGATTTCTGTAGGGGGAACAAGAAGTAAGTACCAAACGATGTGCAAACATACATATCGGGGCAGTCTGACAGTATGAGTTGGCCGTAACGGCGCAGGAGTCAGTACGTTCGGGATTTGAAGGACTGTCTTTCGGTCGGCGTCGACGCAGCCGCTCGTGTCGCGTGATAGGTCAGATTGCGCGGTTTCGTCCGTTTAAAACAAAGCTCAGCAAGGGCTATCTGCCAGGTGCGATACATAGGTAATAGGAAATAAACAGCTATACCGGACGTCCGGTTGGTGTAGTCGGTGACGCGTTCGCCTGCTGTCCGCAGACTCTGGGTTCGATACCCGGTCGGCGCGCTTTTCGGTCGGAGTGGACGCTCGCGAATAGGTGTAATCCAGACGAACTTGCAAGCAATGACGGACGGGCAAATTAAGTATTGACATCAGTTACTGAGGCATAAGCAGACACTAAGCCGGGACAAAACAGGGGGAAACGAGCAAAGAAACGAAACGGTGTCGTAATAAACAGATGCGAGTCACGTTACTCATAAGTAGTCGGAAAACAAGGAAAGTTACCGCTGGTCACCGTTGATTCGCAGGCGGAATCAACAGGTTTGCTTTGCATTTACATAAACCTCGCTCACACCAGATGTTTCGGGTGCTGAGAACAAAATGGACGGTCATTCGGTTTTCCACTGAACCTCATTAATCTCATGGAAGCCAGATATTGGACGGGGTCTCCGTCGGACCACTTATTGTCTACTCACGGTGCAATAATCCCATAACGTACATTGAGCGTGTCCAGCGAGCTGCTTCAGGGATGGTTTATAATCTTCACGGAATTCCTCGATCAGGTGTGCTTATCCGTGAATCAGTTACCGCTCAAGTTCTACTGTAGACGTGGCAAGCAAAAGAAAACATAGGCAAACCTATACGCTCCAGCGCATAGTTTTCTAGTTTAAATATTAAGATGGAAGATGATTCTATGGCCATCCGGATCTTCAGAAGATAATCACAATCTCATGAAACTATGAGTTATCGTTGTTTTTGTTTTAATTCATCACAAATGGTGTGGTTGTCATACCAACATGTTCTCCTTCAAATTCAAGGTCATTACAGCCCCGATGTGATATAATATGAGTAAATATTTTCAAGCATGAGATCAAGACGTCAAATAATCTCACCAAACTTGTGGGCTTAAATGTAGCGGACAAAATCTATTCAAATTCTCGGAATGGATACTTGCGTGCTCAGAACTGTCTGATATTGATCACTAGCTGATGTAGCACATGCAGCCACATTCCACTGTTAGCTGTGAATTAGTTCCGAATAACAAGGGACAAGTTTGTGGCCGATTCTATTTCCATAACCTCATAAAAATTTCCCGTTAGTTCGTCCCATGCAAATTGAACCTGCACGATAAATACCTCGTTTTCTGCTATAGCGCTGAATGGCGCTTTAGGTATCACTGATTTGTGTCAACAACACTCTCATCACATGCAAGTAGAGATCGTGTAAGTCGCCGGGGAATGTATCTAAAAAAAACGTTACACCTTAGTCAAGGACGTAGTGCGACTGGAACAAAAACGTTGCTGCTGTGCATATAAACCAAATTAAGGTTCCATTTGTTATTAAAATCCCGCGGAGCCTTTCATGAACTCCTCACAGGTCACAAAAATGAAAAATCGAAAATTTGTGGTAACAGTGATATTCCGAGTTTGTCCTATACTAGACTTGATTTGTAGATAAAGAATAACAGGGGTAATTACCTTCCGTCCGTTTTTTCAACCAAACCGAGAGTCTTTGCCCCGCCTTTATACATATTACTCACCTAAATGTATGAGCCTTAGCGGTTCCTTTTCATACCCTGGAGCAAGAGACTTCTTATCTTATATTGCATATCCAATGTCGGACAGTCCTCTATCTCGAACACACACATGTAGTGGCTTCATATGCAAGCGGTTGCTCCATCTGTTTATGTCACGTTCACTCACAAAATTTTTCTGTTTGGCTTCCAGAAACTATTGTGCAAGTAGAATGACTAATCGTTCTGCTGTTGCTTTTCACTTTCTGACCGTTTTCTACTGAATGCTGTTTGGTCATAAATCACAAATCTTTCTATTCTATACGTGTGTACAGCATAGACTTTCTAGAAATAACTGTAGGGATTAACGGTCCTATGGAGTGTTTGATAAACAGAACAAATTAATGAAGGAAGTCAGATATATCGTCACAAGGAGAACAATCCAAGGAAATCTTGCCTCACATTTGACAAGAGGAAATTCTGCGGATCCACAGTTCGTTAAACTACCACGCCAAGAAGAGTAGGTTATAATTTCCTGGTATTTCAAGCATCCGGTGGGCGCAATATCGACCCACTGAATCAGATGGGTAAGCCCAGTGTTCGCAGCTAAATTTTCTCTTTACATTGGGAATTAGTATTAGGAATATTATTCACCGGCCAGTCACATCAACAGTCACTCAGCAGAAGAAACGAAGTCGTGTTGAGCTCAATAACTAGGGTGGTTGTGTATTTCGTTAAAACAGTAATCTAACCAACAGTGATAGTGATCGGGACAAATAGCAGCTATAATGTGCTTCATTATTCATTTATCCATACGTCTTTATATATGCCCACCATATGCTCCACTCGTTTTCTGTCTATTAATTCTACTGGTCAGTCCGACGTGTGTACTTAACTTTCAGGTACTGTAAGGAGACAGTTGTTAAAGTCACGATTCTATGGTTCGTTGGCATCCAGCAACCACATATTCTCGCACACGACCTTGAAGAGCTTTGGCTTTCTCTAAACGTCCCGTGCAGATGAACCATAAGTAAGTAGTAAGGTGCAGACTTTTTACATTGTTATTTGAAACCCATGAAGCAGGGGTACAGACGCATCAGCACCAGAGCCGGTGATGTAAGTGTTGACAATAACGTCGTACAACTGGCGTCGACTTGGCGTCAGTTTGTCTGTCAAGGGCAGAGTTTACACTGCGACGGTACGTTTACTACTGCTTTACAGATCAGAAGCATGGCTTTTTAGCACAGAGGATATACGAATAGTGACGGCGCTTGACCATACGTTTCTCCAAAGCATTGGCCAGGTCCGGTGGGAACATCGTATTTGCAATGCTGAGGTAGTTTGGACGGTCTTTAGTGGAAGAAACTCTGCCGATATAGAATAATTACTCGCGCTTCACATGTTACGCAGATTAGGGAATGTACTCCGCATTCTAGAAGACTGTCTGCCACATGGAGCTTTTGTTCAGCCGTGTGCTGACTATAAGTGACCGCGAGTTTACGGTGTATGGCAACACTGACCTGGCAACGATGTACAAAAACGCTAGCTAGTAAACTTAGTCGGGTCGACATCTGCCGCCTCCCTGGATGGAGGCTCAGGGACTCAACTCACTAATGGTTAATGACATTGGCGTAAATGGTCCGTTGGCGCACTCAGTGACGCCTGTACACCAAAACTGTTACCTTCAATACGTAGCTGCCCGGTACCCGAACTAACCAAGACTTGGCGGTATCTTCCATACTGTCCTCTTTTCCGATGATTGAAGCTGCAGCAGCTGAAACTAGTGTGAATTTGGTACGCGGTTTATAACTGATAGATATGACTGATTGATTTTGAGAGCTATTTTCGAATCTGCTGACCTACGGGTCTACGGCAGTGCCTGTGAAGCAAAGATGTCCTTCGTAAATTCTTGACCCGTCTGTGGATTGGAACGATTTACAGGGAATTCACTAACAGATATCAACTATGTAAACGACGCAGCTTTTTTTGGAACAGGTCGTCGTTATGCAAACAATATTAGACGATTCAAATAATTTCGCTTCATGGTTTGGCATGCAATTGACACCTGCGAATTGTAAAATGGTGCTTCAAGACTTGGTGGGTTCAAACCGTAACCTCACACTTAGTGTGAGCACATTGAAATACTGGACAAATTGGTCTACATGAACAGCGTTTTCAGTGCCGGTAGACTGTCAAAAGATGATATTTTCACTCGGATTGGAAGAGCCAGCACAGCTTACATGAATGTGCTCCAACTGTGATGTAGGCCTGACATCAGCTTAACTGTCCAGTTTTGGGTTCACAATGCTACTGTACGCTCCATATTATTATACGGATCAGAAACCTGGCCACCAAGCGCCAAGGACGTCTTACGACTTTTGGTGCTGAATGTTTTTGGTGTATTGTCCGGATCAGTAATTTTGAAGTACGTTGAAGGATTTACAGAAGGAATGACTCGTCCACTATAAATGAACTGATCATATTCCATAAGTTGCGCTAGAGTGGTTGATTGCCGCATATGCTGACTTCCTTGAACGACCCTGTTTGTGCAACCATAAGGAGAGTTAAAACGAGCCAGGGACGTCAAATAGTGATTTTGCAGCTAAGTTTGACGGTCGTTATCATCAAATTTAGCTGCTAGCTGCTGCCGTCTTCCTGAATGGAGAGCCAGAGACGGGAAACAACGATAGTTAAAGACAGCTATAAAAACTGTACGGCAAGTTCATGGATTTTGTTGCTGAATATGATGACGATAATGGTAAAACATTTAATCACTTACCAAATTTCGGCCCAGGATAGCTAGGCGGTTAAGTAAAAAAACTGCTATTCAGAAAGCTTGTGAATCGAACTCAGTCATGGCTTTACCGATTCACCTAGTAATATCTCAGAAACTTGGCGCTACCTCGGCTTTAAAGCTACCTTCAAGTTGCGAGGCAGATATGCGATGGTGATTGTGTGCAAACAGATTTAGCAAACAAGTAAAATCAGGGCTGTTTCTCTTTGAGTGCGCCAGTCTTTTTGCTTTTGTGGATAACCACTCTTTAGTGTTATATTGTTTTATATTACTTTCCTCCCTCTTCTGCCATCTATTGTTTCAGTCTCTATTTTGCTCTGACTTGGACATGTGTGTTGCGCCGTACTTGTGTGATTGTGCCAGCCTACCTTAAGGAGAGTGTGCCCGTGGTGAAGTTTGAAATGCCTTGGCTTTAAAAAGTCTAGTCGTGGTGATGACCCAAAATGACTTGCGTTTCAGTTGCAGTTAAGAGCCGTTGGACTAGAGACAAATAACATCTTCGAGTATTTCTTAGCCAAAAGTTGAACGTATTTTTACCACGCTCAACAGGATGTTTGGACAACCTGTAAATTCCTTAATCTATAACGGACGAGTGACAAGCTGGTCATTACTCCCCTTTATGTGACAGAACAGACCTTATAAGCTAACCTTCTCTATTTCTTTATACAAACGACTCGGTTTACCAGAGTCACAAGAGATATTTGGCTTAGTCAGTAGAGGTTTTTAGTCAGCTAGCTGTGCAGGAAGCTGCGGTGGTTGTGGTGGTTTTATTCACTGGTGTAATAGTGTGCAACCTGGATGCACTAACGATGAGACAAGAAGGGTTGTTTGAACATTGGTGTGTGAGTGAGTAAAAGGGTGTTGGATATTTTCTGATTCAGCCATAACAGGACTGCAAAATATATCTGGCCTCCAAATCATTCAGCTGTAGCACCATTTAGGTGCCTGGCTGTCATGCCAAAGGAAAGAGATACGACGGCTGTGATACTACCATGCTGTCTAAGCCTAGAGAGAAGTTAAGATGCTGAGGTTGGGTTCCAACCACAGACATCCCGGTCCGTAAGCTGACGCCTTTTCCACTGAGCTATCGCGGTGCCCATATGACCCCACCCTGGCAGACCCCAAAGACCAGTGTAGATATGGTCAGCATTAGGGCTTTTGGTAATTTTTTGTAGTGCCATTTACCTACGACTTTCTCATGCCAAAACCCTGAAGGGACAAATAAAAGCAAACCACAGATGGAAAATGGCAAAAATTGACAGAACCATCCTTAAGGGGGTTGTCTCAAATTGTCGATAATCGCATTTGAAGTGCGACACTTCGAATGCACGTTTGTAATGCTGAGCAGGCATCAGTTTAGCATTAGCTACTGCATTGCAGTAGCTATACTGTTCGATGTATCTATCTTATCTTTACTTAGTATTCTTTGCTTTTATAAAACAAACCATGGTGTTTAGATGAGTTTTTCGCATTTCCATACGGCCTAATCCAAATATTCTTTAATTATTAGGGTTTTTTGACGAGTACTCAGTTTCCATGGCATTAAGGAGTTTAAGCGACCGTTCTATGGAAATTTTCATCACATTTGAACTGATCGGTCAGGGAAGATCCGTCGAATAACACTTTTGGTGGTGGGTTCTAGATAATTTCTCTGCAGAAGGTCACATGTTCATAGGTGCTTGAGAGTACAGTAAACAGAGAAGCGAAACATACACATTCCAAAACGTTACCAGTCAGATGTTTCAACTAGGTTGGGGGCTGTTTCCCGTTTAGGGAAGATGGTAATGGTTATTTGCTTGTAAATATGGTGATATATAAGCCGTTGTTTGAAGCTGAGGGCAAAGCAACTATATATAAAAACCTGGAATAGAACCGCCGGATTATCACAGCCCAGCGGTTCTCGTGCACTGTTCGCAGTGCGTCTTAGCATTGTTATTTCGGATGAGTTGGTCAGGTTGCGGTAGGCCGGCCGATTAAACTGGGCAACTGATCTGCAACCGTCTTACAAGCTAATTGCTAATTTCGGTTATTGAATTAACTGTCTGCCAGTCAACAGCCAAACATAAGCGCCGTCGATTTCTTATATGATGAGGTCTGTGCAAGATAGTGTCTCTGTGTCACTGTGTCTTTGACACTGACATAAGGCTAATTTTTAAAGTGAAACAAAAGTGCGCTTACCTTATACTATTATTCAGGAAACGACGTTAGCAGCATTAAAAAATAAGCCCTTTGATGTCTTGAAAATGGTTGAATATCAGGAACTTTAGACTGATGTTTGGCTTAGCCTTCAAGTTACTCGTTCAATGCAAAATCTTGTTTTCCAGTATCCGGATAGCACCAGTTCACGTGAGTAGTTTTCTCGAGGCGATGACCGAAACAAGCCGGTTTTCATGGTGCTCAAACTTTTGATTTAGGTAACAGTCTTATGATTAAACCACAACTTAGCAGTCGACGAATTTTCAGCAACCTTATGAATAGTGCATTACGAACCACAACTTTGCTTTTTCCCTTAAAAGACTACTTCCTTAGGTAACATGGGGCATTGGAATTCTGAATGACGGAATCATTTTAAAGTCTGTAATCCTTGTGCACTGGTCAATTCCTGAAAGGTTTTCAAGTTTTTTGGATGGTTTCCTGCATCTTCATTTATCATCAAATGGGCGTCTATTTGGAACCTGTTTTCTCGCTTCCTGGGACACAGCCAAATTGCTAGGATATTTACTGAGGATTTTCAGGCAGGTTTATCAGAAGCATGGCGATGAAAACTGTTTTGATGCTCAATTCGATTTATTTGTTAATTAAGAGCGTTTAAAACAATTTGGTTTGGTGCTTTTCTGTAAGGAACAGTAAGATGTTAGCTGAACATAATGAGCGTGTGAATTGATTTTCCTGGATACCTTTGCGAAAAGTCAAAATTTGGTACCTGGGATACACTGGAATACCTGGGATACAGTGAGTCAGATCACTGGGGTCTCAATGTAGCGTTCAATGTAGTGCAAAATACGGGTATGGAGATATCTAGAATAACACATTAAGTTGCTTGATGTGAATTCCAACAGCAACAGCGAAATACTGTTTTCCACCTTTTTTCATCTGACAAGGGTGAGACACACGAGGGTTGCTCTGCAGGACTGTCAATTCTGGGATATTCCGTGAGCAACTGCAGGACTTGTAGAAGATTACTTCACGTTGGTTTTGTTTGACTGGTTACCTTTTTCTGTGCGAAAATTCCTTTTGAGTTCACACAGAAATTAAGGAGTGCCGCCTTTTAGTCCTGTTCCTTTTAGAGCTCACCAACTGTACATTGAGTTGACCGGAATCTGAACACCCAATGCCTACAGAAAGTGTTTCTATGGTTCTGCCAGCCGACTTTGTGTGCATCTGATTAATACGTGAAACTTTGATGGTCGACAGGTGCTTAATTGTTTTTTCGACGCATCGATCATCTACCCAGTAGCAGCCTAGAACATACTAACCTGTTGATTGGCTGTCACGCTCAGGTAGTGCCAAGGGAATTTTATTCTGACAACTTTGAAAAATATTTGTGGATGATGGCTGAATAATCTGGAATAATAATAACGATAATAATATATTATATTGTATGTTCAAAAGCGTTGATCTAGCTGAGTCCTGATCGTCATGGTGGAAAAGTAAGTACAAGCGTTTCTCATATGTCAGAAATTCAAACCTCGTCTAGACAGAGGATTTGCATCAGTGGCCATTGCATTTTCCGCTCGTGAGGATTGAGCCCACGAATCGCATCAACACGACTGGTATTCGAACTGGTGATGTGGTTGTAGGCTACTACTCATAGGTAGACAAACATATTGCGAACCTAGTCACACTGAATCTTCAGCGGATGGAACACCAGTCCCAAGCGCGTGACCTTGGGTGTACAACTTTAGAATAGAATTAATCGTTAGTGCGAATACAGAAAAAATCAGCACTCGGGGGTTATCTGTCTGCCTCGCCGATGGAAAATCGAATTCAATGACAAAGTATGTCATTTCCTTTTGCATGAGTACTCTAAACTTGAATTATAATTTCATGGACTGGCTATCTCAAAAGAATTCCTGAGTGGCATAGAAAAATTTCTTTTAAGGTTGTATTTCCACTTTGGATGTGCCATTTGTTTCATCGCACTGAGTTTTCTTCACCTCTTACTCAGTCTTGTTTATCCTAATCTCATAACCGACTCATGTTTCCCTCAAACAGTCAGGACTTTTAAGACGACCAACAATACCTGATGAACTTTGTGTCCTACGGCTCTGCGCGGTCCAACTTGCTGTCTATTTTATGCTCGCTTGACTATGAGGAGGGATTGTTCTATGTCGGATGCCTTTCGTTTCTATGTTACCGATTGTGCTAACGAGGTAACTTTCACGTACCCAGTGGATGTACTGTGTAGGCCCACCTCATCTGTGTGCCCTCAGACTGCTTGATGGAAAACCGAATTCGCCGAGGTTGATAAACCTGTTTCTCGATTCATTACTTTGGACGTTATGCCCCGGGAGAGGTACTGGAAGGTGTGGAGCGTTTTACGTATCTTGGAAGTTGTATTAGTTCTGATTGTAGTGTGACAGATGAGGTGAATGCACGAATCTGCAAGGCTCGGGCCGCGTTTGCTAATTTGAGACACCTATGGCGTCAGAATGGTTTATCCCTGAATCTGAAGGGACGTGTGTATCAAGCTACAGTACGGGCTGTTTTGTTGTATGGCTGTGAGACTTGGCCTATTCCAGCAGCGGAACTGAGACGTCTTCAGGTGTTCGACAATCGTTGTCTCAGAACCATAG